ACTTGGTACTTATTTTCTTTTAGTTCATTACTGGCTACTTATTTTCTTTTGTGCTGTTTGGTTCATTTGCAGGTTAAAGCAAGGAGTAAAGCGAGCAACATGGGAGCTACAGATTTTTTTGAGCTGTGTTTTAATATTCTGGTTCACTTATGGTTTGTAATATTCTCGTTCATTTTGTGATTGAGTTGGGCTGTTAATAATCTGGATTTGAATGTCATGTTATGTGGCCTGTGCTGTTATAATGGGCCTTGTTCATTTTGATATATATGTGGACTTTGATGGACTTGTGATGCACTTGTGGACTTTTGATGGACTTGTGATGCACTTGTGGACTTTGATGGACTTGTGGATTTATTTGGATGGACTTGAGCACTTATTATTATATATGTGATATATATTATTATGGATGTGATATGTGCGGATGGATGTGTGGATGGATGAGATATATATGTGATGGATGAGATATATATGTGATATATGATTGTATGAATTTATTTGTCATGATGGAATGTAAAAAAAATTAAAAATTGCCGTTTTGGGTCACTTTGTTGAGTGTTGCACTCGGCAAAGGACCCTGTTGCCGAGTGTCATGGTCACAGCACTCGGCAAAGTTGAAAAATGGGTGCTTGGAAAACTATTTTTCCAGCTTTGCTGAGTGCCATGACCATGGCACTCGACAAAGAATTTTAAAAAAAAATCAAACTTTGCCGAGTGCTCCGGCACTCGGCAAAGATTTTTTTTTTAAAAAAAATTCAAACTTTGCCGAGTGCTGGCCAGAGGGCACTCGGCAAAGAGTTTTTTTTTTAAAAAAAAATCAAACTTTGCCGAGTGCCGGCTAGAGGGCACTCGGCAAAGAATTTTTTTAAAAAAAAATTCAAACTTTGCCGAGCGCCGGCCAGTGGGCACTGGGCAAAGAATTTTTTTAAAAAAAATAAAAAATCTTTGCCGAGTGTCTGCAGGGTTGGCACTCGGCAAAACCACTGTCAACGGATTCAGCGCCGTGACGGTCGCTTTTTTTTTGCCGAGTGCCACCGGGACTCTCGGCAAAGAGGTCTTTGCCGATCAATTTTTTGCCGTGTGTTCTTTACGGAGTGCCACACTCGGCAAAGGCTTTGCTGAGGCACTCGGCAAAGAACATGGATCCAGTAGGGTCGCGTCCATGCAATCGCTGCATACTCTGGCACTAGGAACACACTGGTACTATTTGTTCGATCTATTAAAAGCACATGTGAAAAAGAAAGAAGATGCAAAGATGGAGCACCCAAGCGAGCGCAGTGCCCTACAACTCGGCACAGAGCCATGCAAAATCACGCGTCAAGCCCTATCAAAAAAATTCACGCGTAGCAACTCGGCACAGAGCCATGCAAAATCATGCGTCAAGCCCTATCAACAAAAATCGCAAAAATCATGCGTCAAGCCCTATCAAAGAAAATAACACGTCATGCAAAAATACAGAGCCAACAAGGTATCGAACCGTGCCCTCCTGCATCGGACTAGGGCGCGCTAGCCACTAAAGTTGCGAAAAAAATTGCTTAACGGGGCATACCCAAAGCCCCATTTAATAAAGGCAAATAGGGAAAAATCAACCTAATTAATCATATTTTGGTATGCTAAATGTTGTCCAAAACAACGTACAAAGGGAGTAGTTTCTATGCCATAAGACACCACGACTAGAAACTACCCTCTCTGATACAGTATTTTTCAGATGGACCCACTAAAAATCAGAGCAATCGTTCTCGCGATTGTTTATCTCTCTCCTCCGATCCCCTGCGGCTGGCTTCATTCTGTGGCTTCATCCACGCCTCACCTTATCTCCTCTTCGAGATATTTCCACGTCTCACGCAAGCCACCATGGAGTCCGGCCTTCTCCCGACTACTTCTCCACTCGGCCTCCATCGGTAATCGCCGATGAGCATGTCTCAAAACGTGCTTACCAGCGACAGCGCCTGCACGGAGTCGGTGGCAGCGTAGCTCCACCTGCCCGGCCATGAACGTGAAGGCGTTCCCCATCCCGCACACCATCCCGTGAGCATCACGAGGCCCGCACACCATCGAGACGATGGTTTCTATCATCGTTAAATGACTTGTCACATAGGTAAAATGCTGATATGGCAACGTAGTTAATGAAGAAAGAGAGCAAAAATCATAGAAATGGTTTCTTCATGAAGAAACCAGGTCTTCTCTTGACCCAATGCACCAAGAAACCATGAAATCGTCATTGGGGAGAAACCAGCAGTTTCTAGGAAGCTCGTGCCGCACTCCCATTAGAGAAAGAAGATAGAGTTATGAGAGAGAAAGAGAAAATAATGATTACTCATAGAAACAATGGGTTGGAAAGCAGTACTTTTTTCGTGTGGTATCCTATGTTATAGAAATTACTAGTTTTTTTCATTGGGACTGCCCTTAGTTGCACGTGAAGACACCGTTTCTAATCTAATTTAGAAATGGTTTCTCATTTTTTTTCTCTCTCCTGGTTAAAATGCTCGTCACATCAGTAAAATACCTACGTGACAAGATAATTAATAGGGATAGAAATTAATGTGGTTTCTGCGTCGGGACTTGGGAGTGCCCTTATTATGCTAGGGATCTTTTTCCTCTTATTACGCGCTGATTTTGGTTGGATGGAAGGATTCCTTTCTTATAAAAAGATTTAATTCTAAAAACCTATCGTCTTGATCAAGCATGGGCACCAAAAATATTCTCAAAGATTCTATACCTGATAATAAAGAGACAAAATTTTAGCCTATTTTTTGATCCGTCTCTCTCTAACTATCAGATAATGGAGAGTTTTTTTTTCCGTCCAGACTTATATATATATATATATATATATATATATATATATATATATATATATATATAACCCGTGCTCATACGTATATCCTAATCGTAATCCAAACAGAGTCCTTTATCTGAGCAGTGAATAGGAATCGTAATCAAATAAGAAAGAATATCTCAATTTCTCTTCTCGGACTTTTCTGGTTTTTTCCCTTACTGACTATCCGTCACGTACGAGAAGACGTGAGGCTTTTCCTGTGTCGATTTCTTTTTTTTTTAATTTCCGATTAGAGTCCTTTTCCTCTTTTGATGTATTTTTTTATTTCTATTTTTTTCAAGTTGCGTCTTTTTTTCAGCTCCGTTTAGAGTCTTGTTTTGATGTCTTTTTTTATTTATGTTTATTTCCAGTTTTGGTTAGAGTCCATCGGATATGAAATTTGTTCCTTTCATAGTTCTTTTTCTGTTTTGATGTCTTTTTTTCATTTTTTCTAAGTCCGGTTAGAGTGCATCGGCCATACTCTTTTTTCTATATCTAATAATAAAGAGATAAAACTTCGGCCATTTGTTCTGCATCCCGCTTTAATCCTCCACTCCCTTCTGCAGTCGATGATATACCAAGGGCCTCATCTCCAACGTGGACTTCCGTATACGAATCTAACATGACAAATCGAATACAATATACACAACGACTCAATAAATTGAATACAAATTGGGTTAAATTGGACACCAATTAAACCATATGCACAAGGCACCATATCGTCACAAACGAGGCGGCGCGAAAAGATGCTGAGGTTGGAACGAGAACTACGATGGCACAAGGCGTAGAGACAACAACGAGGTCAGGCAACGGTGGCGTGACCTTATGAGACGGCGTCATGACTCGTAAGCGAGACCGAGGTGAGGATGAGCAACGACGATGATGCGGGGTGGGGCGGGGAGACGGTGACACGGATGAGGCTTCCGAGTTGTTGGGGCTTGAGGCCGGTCGGCTGCCGGGGTGCCGTCCCATAACTGCCAAGGCGTGGTCGCATTGGGGCTATGTGGCCGCTGCGGTGCTGTGACCATCAGCCCATCAAGGCTCTATGGACGCCTTAGCAAGGCTTCAGGTGGACGAAGTTGGAGGCCTCTGGTGTGAGTGGATGAGGATAACAAAGAAGAGAAAAAAAAAAAAAAAGAATGAAAAGAAAAGAAAGGGTATGATGGGCATCTTATAGTTTTTTCCTAGCATAAGGAGGTTTTTTTTTTGCCAAATGTTTCCCCAAAACAGCTTCATGTCCATCACTGGAGCTGCTTGTGGAGTTTAAGTAAATAAAAACCGCTTCACTAGTGATATTTCTCATTGATTAATTGTGTGTTATTGTCTTGATCGGTTTTTTAAAAAAAGTTGCACGATGAAATGTTTATACCCTAAGTAAATTCTCTGGTATGTAGTATGCTCAATTGCATTTATTGATTCTTTGATGTTATAATAGGAAGTAGAAGTGAAACGGGCGCCCCTGACTCTTCGTGCCCTATGTCATACGTACAATTGATTACTTAAGTAGAATAAAATATGTTGACTCAAAATTATTTACGTATGTTTTTTACTATAATGTCGAGCGCAATAAAAATATAATGATATAAATAAAAAAATTATAGCTTTAAAGACAAAACAACATAGAAATGTCAAGGCTCTAGATGACGCCTTTTCTCCAGTTGCAACGTACGAACATTTTTACTAGTTTTTTTAAAAAAATACTTCGGTAAAAGAAGTCGTTTTGGACAGTGACACGGTTTCCAAAACATAACTTTGGCTTCTTATTTTTATAAAAATATTTAATAAAAGGTGATATATGTATATTTTTATGAAAATATTTTTCAAAACAAATCTATTCTTATGGTTTTCATATTTCCAAACTCAACAACTTATAAGTTATTCAAGATTTATATTCCCAATGTTTGACCCAAGCCTTGTGTAAAAGGCCTTCGTTTACTAAGCTGGAGGGAGTATATATATACAGATGTGTTGTATGTACACTGACAAATTGTGGCCCAGAATCTCTCAATTCAAAAGAGCAATCGAACCAACCTAGTTCTTCACTAGAAAATTTGGAGCTGTCGTTGCCCATATCATTTTCTCATGCAGGTAGGGGCACGTTACTACTGAATAACTGAAACAGACATACAAGATTGTGACTGAAGATGCATATTGGTCCTACTAGTACAGGTGTGCTTATTATTCAAAATCAGCGATGTCCTCCAGTTCTCCTCTTGCGGTTCAAGATCACATTGAGCACCTGAAGGTGCTCGTCGTTCGAGATATGGAGGTGCACGCGAAGGTCACTGAGCAGACCCTCCTTCTCCCAGCTCAGCGCGTTACCGCACGCATGGAACGCCTTCATCAGAGCAGCGTAGGCCTCCAGCTCCAGATGGTGGATGTGTTCCCGCACCGTCGTCGCCCCCATCGTCTGATGCTTCAGGGGCTCGCTTTTGATCTCACGTGATTCAGCTATGTCGTCACAATGTTGTTCTTTCTTGACGGGTTGTTCTTCCTTGATGATGGGTTGTTCTTTCTTGACGGGTTGCAGCTGACCGGCCTTCTGAACGTTGCAAGGCATGGTGGTGAGAGCTGCAGGGCAATCCTTGCCGGCGTCGATGCTCCTGGTTCTGCTGTCACTGTCACTGCCACTGCTGCTGTCATCTGAAGACGAGTCGGAATCACTGTCGTCGTCGTCGTCGTCGTCATCGTCTTCCTCCTCCTCCTCGTCCTTGCGCTCGTGCTGCTGCTGCTGTTGCTGCTGATGGTCATCATCATCATCGGGATTAATGCCTATCCCAACGTCGTTGTCACAATCTTCGCCGCTCATCTCGTCCCGCTTGTTGTTCACGCACACGTTTGGGATGGGTTCTTGCTTAAGCCTCTTGGTATTGTCCTCAAATCCCTTGACATGGGAGGTTGTGTCAGAAGCAGAACCCAACATGCCGAAGCTCCTCTTCTGCAAGAACGGCGTGAAGCCTGGCGCCATGGGCTTGTAGCCGCCTTTTGCCTCTGCCGACGCTCATGCCGACGATGGCACGAGGCTGCATCGCGCTCTGGACGGCGACATGGTTATCCTGATGGAAAAAGAACCATGGCGACATATCAGGAAACGTGCTCTCCAGATGTAATAGAATCGATCTATTATTGCACGCGCACGGGAGAGACGGCGATGGCCTTACCTTGTGGAGCGCGACCCAGACGTCGTCCAGGAGCACCTGGCGGACGCGGAGCCTTTGCGCCGGGACCGTGAGGACCTTGGCCGCGCCGACGATCTTGACGTCGAAGTGGCGGTCGTTGGCGGCCGCAGGACCCTGGACCTCGGCGCACTTCCACAGGCAGTCGTCGTCGTCGAACACCTCGACCATGTCCCCGGCGTCCAGGTCGCGCGGCACCGGCGCGGGCGGCGGGCGCGGCCGGACCGACTTCCTCGAGATGCGCCCGGACACCTCGCCGTCGCCGTCGTGCCACCGCAGGGTGTACGAGTGGCCGTTGCCCCACGTGACCTCGCCGCTGCGCCACGCGCCCACCGGCGACCCGGCCTCCTGCGTCCACACCTCCACCGGGTTCCCTTTCCTGATCCTCATCGCTCGGCCTCACCGCCGCCGCCGCGCACCCGCTCTTGCCCTCCCTCTCCTTTGTACTACTACTTGGCAAGTTCTTGGAGTCGTATCCCCAACAATCCGCGAGAAATCTCCAAGCAGCCGAACCGCCTGGATTGGGTGGAGATATATAGATCGCCGAGTCGGCGGGCTCCAATTCCGCCTCGGTTGCCGAGTTGTAGGCCGGGACGGACATGTACGCCGATTTTATTTTTTGGCAAAAAAGAAAACGAAAAAAAATTGCAGGCATAATATATACTACTATTACATTTATAATTGAATCAAAATCAGATCCGAATACAAATAGGTATCAGATGCGAATACAAATAGGTTGGGTTGGGCTGCTCGGTTTCGCACAGCAGGGACGGAAGGAAAAAGAAAGGTGCGTGTATCGGGTGCACATCGCCGGCGAAGGGGCCTGGGCACGGCGCCGGCGGCCGCCCAATCAGTTGCCACAAGAGCTCACGGGAGAACTGCGAGGCAGCGAGGGGGATTATATACAGTGCTAAGGCCCCGATTACATCCAATTTTTTTTTTGATTTTGGCTACTGTAACACTTTCGTTTGTATTTGGTAATTAGTGTCTAATTATGGACTAATTAGGTTCAAAAGTTCCGTCTCGTGATTTCTCACTCAACTGTGCAATTAGTTTTTTTTCGGTCTATATTTAGTACTCCATGCATGTGCCGTAAGATTCGATGTGACGGGTACTGCGCAAAATTTTTTGGAATCTAAACGGGGCCTAAATCGATGGTCCGGCCCGACAGGCCGACACGGCAGAGGACCAAGTTAGTTTTTTTTTCTTTTTTTATTTTATATAGGGCGGGGCGCGCCTCCGTCCAGATACAGCTCTGACACCTGCATCCGTGTCGCATCGGACACCCTCTGCTCACATTAAATCCCGCGCCAGCGATCATGCCGGTAGCCCGCGACTTATCCCGCGCCTCGATCCCATCCCGCCTGAGCCCCCCGCGACAAGCCCGCTGTGATCCTTCCCCGCCACTCTGCGCTCCTCCCTCGCCGCGGGGCCATCCCCTGCCGCGGCCCCGTCCCCCCGCCACGCTCTCTCTTGGCCGCGCCCCTTCCCCGTCCTAACGTCTCATCTCGTCTGCAACATCCGTCCGACCGCCGCAACATATGCAATATACTATTAAAACATACCTGTATAGTCATTACAACATCTAGATGAAACACTTTGCAACATGCGTCTGAAATAGCTGACATTTAGAGCATACATTTGCAGCATATATCTGAAACATGTGAAACATACACTGAAAACATACGTGCGAAGCTATTGCAACATATTTAACACCAAATCTTTTTGCAGCATCCAGATGAAACAAATGAAACATACAGATGAAACATATGAAACAGAAACCCGTGAAACATATGGTTGAAAAAGTCTTGTCGACGCGTCATTTGGAACATACTTTGCAACATACGCCTGAAATAGATGAAACGTGTGAAACATATGTGCGAAGCTATTGCAACATATGCAACACCAGATCTTTTTTAACATCCAGATAAAACATATATGAAACATACAGATGAAACACATGAAACGTACATCTGAAATGCGTGAAACATACAGTTGCAAAATGGCTCGTCGATGCAGAGCTCGACGCCAACGCGGAGTTTGATGCCACAGAGTGACGCGGCGATCGCCGGTGCGAAGCTCATCAATGGCACAGGCCTAGGCAGTGGTCGCAGCAGGCGGATGGGTGCGCGGCCGCAGAGGGCGACACTAGTCCGGGCGGGTGGCGCGATTCCGAGTACGAGGGGGCGGTGGGGGTGGGAGCGAGCGGGGCGCGCGGCGGGAGGGAGCGAGCAGGGCACCGAGCGCACGTCGCGGGCGGGAGCAGCGAGGCGGACTTGAACTGGGGTGCGCGGCGTCCGGACAGCCGGACACCCACGTTTAAGCATTAGCATTTTTAGAAATGTGTAAGACTATAAGGGCCTGTTTGCCATATGGCTCCGGGAGGAGCCACTCGATCCTCAAATCGGCGGTTTCTTAATGCATTTTGACTAGAGCCGGAGTCGTTTTGAACAGTGCTACAATTATCTCCAGTATAGAACAGTACGCTGCAGTACCTGGGCAGAGGAGGAGCCGGAGCACTTGGGAGTGGCGCCAAACAAGTACTAAGTTCAAGCTAGTAAATGTACAACCCGGTTATTAATCAGGCCAAACTATCCCAGACATGACATTAGGCAAGTGTCATACCCGTCCAACAACCCTCCATCTACATTTATATCATATCTATATCTATATCTAAAAGAAACTTCAAGCTCTTTACATCATTCTAAATTGATAGGAATAGTTTTTCTCCACCAACTTCTTTAGTTAGATCTTCAAAATATTGTCATCCTCTATTTTGGATTTGTCGTTAGCCAAAGATAAGGACTAGCACTTTACAATGCGCATAAAATCTAGAAAAGTTGTTAGATGGTGGAAAGATATAAAAACACTCTTTATTCAAATGATTCTCCAAATATTAATTTAAAGAGTTAGTTTAAGAAAGACACATATGACTTTTAATATTAAAGAGCGAAAAAGGGATTCCTCCAATCCAATTTTACTTCACATTGCCTCGCGCCCTTCGTATCCTAGGGATGGATCCGGGTATTAAAATATCTGAAAGATCTGATATTCGTATTCATTTTAAGTTAATATGGATATATGTATTCGTATTCGATTCTAATATGGATACTATACAACCGTATTCACTTCATCTAATTTTCGTATTAAGAAAGATGTTAAATATTCGACAATATTTGTATTCATGAACAACAAAATACCCTGTAAAAACATCTAGAACTTATATCTATGACTAGTAATTAATGTAAGGCCCGTTTGGATCCTTGGAATTGAATTCATTTTAATAATAATAATTTAGACACATATTAATTAAGCTAATATGGTTGTATATGGATTATATTTGTATATTATTATTGGCTATAGGAAAGAGATACTTATGTGTTACATTTCTATCGTAGGTGGAACGAGTTGAAGAGCGTGTTACAAGTTGCAAAATAGAAACATAGAATGGTGATCTATAGAATCAATTTCCATCTTCCACCTTATGAATTTGAGAAAGACTTATACGTGAACTTTGAAAAGTGGTGGAATGTCAAATTCTAAGCCAAATAGTCTAATTTATTAAGTAGATTTCAATTCCTCCAAACGAAGGATCCAAACGGCCCCTAAATGATATCAATTTTAATATAGCAAATGGTATGCAATGTTTAAACTATTTAAAACTTATGTATATGGCTAATAACATTATGATGTAAAGGTTAATTTTAATATGGCTAATCATATTAATTTTAAGTACTGGCTAATCATATTAATTTTAAGTACTTTACTTATTGATGCATTGATGAAAATATTTATATATATTCTAAACTACTTATTATTAAATATTTATTTCAAGTTTTATTGATTCTTGACATATTTAATTATTGAAATATTTATTAAATACATATTTTATGAGTTGTCGTTATCTCCATGTGTTATATAATTATATTCTCTAAATGCAAAATAATTTTGTTCTACTAAAATCATATACAAGCATTATCTTCAAAATCTAGTAGGTATCGGAATATGAATCCGATTTTGAGATATCTATTTTGTATCCATATCCGATAATATCCGTATCTGTATCCGGATTTAGAATTAAAATTTGGTAAATGTGGATTCATTCCGAATTCATCGACCATGCTCATATGAGTTGAAACAACTCGTGTCCAGCAATAATATAGATTCTGAATTTAAGATGTATTAATGAGTTGTGTTATAACACATGGGCACCCCGTCCACGCAACTTACGCGTTCCTGCCATGCAAAACATCTCCGTCGCCCTCGCTGTCTTTTTTTCAGCCGCCCACAAAGTACCCTCCCGTCTACGTGAGTTTCTTCTCCTCGCGCTTCCGTAGATGGTTTCCATATCTAATCGAGTGCACACGGAGATTATTTCCGTATCACGGTGGGTATCCAATGTCTCTAGATTGCTTGGCTTGTTTATAGTGTAGACATATAGATAAACAGCACTATTCTCTTTTAGTGATAGACAGTGTATCGATCTGACAACGAGTCAGCTCATCCAATGTACTAGTTCTAGTTGTACAAATTTCCACTTCATCATCTGTTTGAACCTAGAGAGCACCGACTTTGCTTACTCAGTAAGTTACTGTTGTTCTAACCCGAACTATACCGGTGCGCGTTGAGATGGACGATGTCCTTGCCTGCCATTAGGACAGTAAGGGTTGCTTCTCTGTTAAATCTGCATACCGGGTGCACAGAGTGGTAATGAGGCGAAACCAGCAGGCTTGAAGAGGAGGGGGGAGCTGAAGGAAGGGGAGATTTCTGGAAGAAATTGTAGAAACTTGACTATATGCCAAAGGTGAAGCATTTCCTATGGCGTTTGAGTCACAGCACCCTGACTTTCCGGAGGGTGCTACAGAGAAAGGGTATGAAATTTGACACAAACTGCTGCATGTGTGGGAGATTTGACGAAGATGGCGGCCACCTCCTGTTTAAGTGCAAGAACGTCAAAGAAGCATGGCGAGCACTGAACTTGGAAGTGGTACGGTGTGACCTTGCTCAAGCGGAGACGGCAATGGATATGATGGAGAAGGTGCTGAAACTAGAAAGACACAGAGCACGGTTGTTCTCCTCCTTTGGCTATGGTGGGATGAACGAAACAAATGGAGGGAGGAGGGAAAAAGAAGAGCAGGCGTGGAAGTGGCATACATAGCAGCGGCGTTGTCTGACAAACTGCATCAGAGGACTCTGAAACTGCTGTTGTCGGAATCCCGTCAGACATCCAGGTGGACAAGGCCGAGCGATGGGGTGCTGAAACTTAATTCTGATGGCGCGTTCCTGATGCAGACCGGTGAAGGAGGCTGGGGGTTCATCATCAGAAACCACTTGGGCGCCGTGCACAAGGTGGGAGCGGGAAGGGAGATGTTTCTCCAAAACGCGTTCCA